TGTCGCGAAAACCAATTTAGAGGTGCGACAACCGTATAAGAACACCGTTTAATTACTTGTTTATAGTTAAACGTGTGGGTTTACTGTAGGCTCTGCGAACCCGCCAAACACCATGACCGGCGTCGTTCAAACATGCACGATCCTCCAAATATGGCAAAAACAACGTCCAGCCCAAACAGCCTGCCATGTTTGCAAGGTTTGGTGTGGGGCATAGGGGTAGGTAGCTCTTGGGGATGTCACTGGTGTATGGTGGCCCGAGATGGCGGTGCACATTTACGGGGTGTGGGATGTAGAAGGCTTCCACAGCCACCCGCCTGCATGCACCGCGAAGGTACCTTCGTCGTTGTAGGGTTGGTTGTCTATGTTCTTCAACTCGTCCACATGCACCATGTCCCGTGAACCACTAGTGACGGAGCTGGTGCATGGCCATGGGCTACACTATGACCTCGTGATATCGTCATCACAAAGGTACTACGTAGTATATGGTTGTATGTGTCGATTATCTTTGAATTCGGTCGTCCTTCCCCAGAGGTCTCAATGGTCGCGTGACCTTAGCTGGCGTTTAGATAGATCATCCAATGTTAGGCAAAATGTAAAAGTGATCTATCTAAGAGCCAGCTAACATTGGATCTACTCTTTGCTTGCTTTGTCCCTCTTGGTAAAGCCGAGAGAATCTGGTCCTGGAGTCCGAACCTCGGGACCTTGTATAGTTTTGTGCGTCTAACCCATACGACCGTCACACACGCCATCCATCCAGCACGGCAATCCACTGAAACCTTGACGTCCCATCCAGAACTCCTTCATGAATTGTCCGTGCTGGATGGTGGGGATCATGGAACACGGTGCATGCGGACGAGTTGTGGACATTGACAACCAACCATTAAATGACACCATCCAGGCACCTTCCCGTTGAAAGTGTCTGGACGTTGTCGTTTACACATGTGATGGAAAAGCTTGTGTCAAGGGGCACTTTTGACAATGAGCACAGCGACAGGGAATGTTGCGATATCCAGCAAAATATACTAGTTGGAGTAGCATATTATTATTTATTTCGTTATCAGGATATTTTTGGCCGAATAAGTATGTATCACAGAAGTTTGGCGACAAAATGGTATCCGGACACACCCTTCACACAAATCAAATGATTTTGATATTATTTATCGAAATATTGAGAAATATCAAGTTGAGCGTGTTTAATGTCAAATTTTTGTCGTTGAGTTTGTTGATGATGGTAATAGCTGATCTAAAACTACGGCCGTCGTCCCGAGGCTGGGGCTGGTAGCACGCCAGCCTTAGCTCCGTCCACATCTACCCTTGGGCCTTGGGTGTCCTTGAGCCGGCACAAGCCACCGTTGAGGGTATACCACACAAACGCTTTGCATCGCGGTGTCTTTTTACATTCAGCGCAGCAGGATTCAACAGTCGTCCGATTGAACGAAGCCAAGTCGCCGCCAACATAGTGCGTGTTGTCTTCCAACGTGCCACACGTGCTTAGGTCATCGTTCGGGTTCAGGACTTGGGTGGACTCGGATGGCGGGGGAAGAGTCAGGCCGCGGATGCTAGCATCCACGGCCTTGAAGATGTTCAAGCGGCCGTGGCCAAAGAGGTTGTTGGGATACTGCGTGTTGGGAATGCCACCGCAGGTTATGTTGGGTGGAGTTAACGTGTTCGTATCCGCATTCTTGGTCAGGGCCCTGTACACTTGGTCGTACGAGGCGCCATTGTTGGCAGACAAGTACAAGGCGATGGCTCCAGAAACATGAGGCGCAGCCAGGCTCGTGCCAGAGTCCGAGACGAAACTATCGTCGCTGGAGTGTCCTGAGGTAGGGATGCTTTCACCAGGAGCCGAAATGTCGGGTTTGACGAGTGTATAGTTAAAGAGGGAAGGTCCCAAACTTGAATCGAACCCCAAAAAATCGTGGGAGTCAGTGTTGCCGACAGCAATCACTTGAGGAGACACGCCAGGATAACCTGAATACGTACAGCCTTTACGGCCGTGGTTGCCGATCGCAAAGACGGGAATGATTCCCGCTTCTCTCCACTTTGTAATGCTATCTTCCAAATAATGCTCCATGTGAACTTCACCAAAGCTGCCATTGATCACATGAGGGGCCTTGCTGGGGTCGCATTTGTTGCCGTCGTTGTTGTGGGGACAAAGTAGGAATTGAGCGCATTCCACCAACTTGGATTCATCGAAACCGTTGTTGAGCCCTTTGCACGCAATCCACTTGGCTTTGGGGGCGACACCAATACCTTTCGTTCCCACCATAATGCCCATGACGCCAGTGCCGTGCCCATCCTCATCGTCGGGAAGCTTGTTCGTCTTGTTGTACGGGTCGAACCAACCGTATTCTCTTCGCCAGTTCGACTCCAACGACTCATGGGTATAGCGAACACCAGTGTCGATATTGGCAACGACAATTCCGTCGCCCTCGATGCCATTGGCCCACAGCGCTGGCGCTTGGATCTTCTCGACCCCCCATGCGATGTCATCATTCACAGCACTTACTGATTTGTCATTGCTTTGGGTTTCATGGAGTGTCATTGTAACTGGCGCGTAAATGGATTTGACTTCCGGTAACGCCGCGAACTTGTGGACGAGGTCGGTGGGGGCGTTGTTGATGTACATGGAACATTGGATCCATGTCGTGGCCACTTCCACAGCCGTCGATTCAACTTGGTTGGCCAGGAGCGACTTGACCGACGCCTGAGATTTTGTGGTGTGCTCCTTCAACGAATCAACCAGTGACTCGATGGTTTCGGTGCGAGACGCGCCGCTCTTGAGTCGGCGGCGGTGGGTGGTGAGGGCCTCGTCACAGTAAAATTTCACCACGATATTTGACTGCTTGGCGATTTCCAAGTTGCGATGCACTTGGACCGAGATCTTGTCCGTGGCGGCGGTGACGGCGGTGGCGGCGAGAGCGGCGAGGGCAATAAACTGGTACTGAACCATGATGTTGTTGGGTCAATGGAAATTGCAAAATGAGACCAATGACTCTCAATCTGGATGTAGCACTTAACTTGCCTTGCGCAACACGCTGGGAAATATGTATCAGGTCAGCTGTTGTGTGTACTGTCTGTGTACAATATGTATGGCAACGTGATGAAATCGTTAACCTGGAGCAAAAGCTTAGGTCAAGTGATCAAAGTGTGCCATTCTGCAAATGATAGATTTTCTCATCCCTACCTTCAAGCTAGGCCTAATAAAATACTCAGAATCAGTATTCCTATTCCCGAATCTGCAAATGAGAGATTCTCTCATTTGCAGGGGCCAATAGAAATCCAGTAAATCGAAATATTTACAATGTCATTGGCTTAATGTACTCGAGTATGATTGGCTCTACTGCAAATGAGAGTATCTCTCATTTGGAACACCTCCCGTCCGCCGATCCTAGCGGGTTAAGCTTATGGAATGCTCAAAATCGTGTACAGTTAATTATTACTGGAATAGAAAACGTTACTATTATTAATAATAGTAGGACGCAACAAGATTCTGACGGAATTGCCGTCAATGTGCGATGACATACCAAATTCAGCATATGACTTATGAGCAGCCCTTGAAGTTCAATGTGTAGTGTTGACATGAAGTGGAATGGTCGCCACCACATTGAAGCATGTACTGTACACACAGTATTCTCGCAAACATCAGGTATGGTACTACAGTAGTACTACTAGTATACTAGTATTTGTTTACTCGTACACGCAGTGCAAACATCAGGTATAGTATAGTAGAGTATGTACGTACTCCGGAGTACTACTCTGGTCCGAAATAGCTGTCAAGTTAATTTTCACTTGGATTTAAGTATGGTTGTGACCGGCCAACTATCTTAATTTCAGTATGGCACCCCAAAACAACATATTCACAACCAAAATCTTAATCGTATTTTTTAAATTGTAGCGACTACTACGTAGTACTTATGTTTGAGAATTCACTAGTGCCTGCATCTGAGCTTCTTCGCCAAGACGAAAAGTCACATAGTTGACGGTAAGAAAACATCGATCAGGTTCCACCTGATACTCGGCAACCATGAAACGTTCCAGAAGGATGCTGTGTATTTGAATGGTGTTGACCGACCGTATGAGTGCGAGCAGAAGTATGCGACGACGGGCAGGGCTCGCGAAGCGAGAACGCGTGTAATCCATGACAAGTACTTCCACAGACAGCATTATTGCTAAGACAGCATTATTGCTAAGTAGCTGATTCCTCATGTTTATTCCGGACGCGGAATTCTATTTATACAGCGAAATTGTCTAAATTTAATCCGTGTCAATGTCATTTTTCTCACGGACGCGAAGACGGATTGAATTGCGAAATCTCCCTATTATTGACGGCAATTCCGTCAGAATCTTGTTGCGTCTTACTATTATTATTAATAATAGTAACGTTTTCTATTCCAGTAATAATTAACTGTACATGATTTTGAGCATTCCACAAGCTTAACCCACTAGGATGGGAGCAAAAGCTTACGTATAAATATACTTAAGAATGGCCAAGTTGTACGGGTCGAACCAACCGTATTCTCTTCGCCAGTTCGACTCCAACGACTCATGGGTATAGCGAACAGCAGAGTCGATATTGGCCACGACAATGCCGTCGCCCTCGATGCCATTGGCCCACAGCGCCGGCGCTTGGATTTTCTTGACCCCCGTTCGATGTCATCATTGATAGCACTTGCTGGTTTGTCATCGCTTTGGGTTTCACCGAGTGTCATTGTAACTGGCTTGTAAATGGATTTGACTTCGGGCAACACCGCGAACTTGTGGACGAGGTCGGTGGGGGTAGTATCTCTCCTTTGCAGTAGGAGAACCAATAAGAGTCGAGTAACTTCGTAGGCTGAAGCCAATGAAATTGTACAATTACAAATATTTCGATTTACTGGATTTCTATTGGCCCCTGTAAATGAATGCTTAGTTAGGCCTAACTGGATGAAAAATCTCTCATTTGAAGAATAGCATACTTTAAGCAAGCTCATTCTTAGTGGGGTCAGGGCACTCGCGTCATGGGCATTATGGTGGGAACGAAAGGTATTGGTGTCGCCCCCAAAGCCAAGTGGATTGCGTGCAAAGGGTGCAACGGCAACAGCGATTGCGATGAACTCAAGGTGGTGCAATGCGCTCAATACCTGCTTTGTCCCCACAACAACGACGGCAACAACTTCGACCCCAGCAAGGCCCCTCATGTGATCAACGGTAGCAGTGGAGGTCACACCAGGAAGTTTTATTTGGAAGATATGATTGCAAAGTGAAGAGAAGTGGGAATCATTCCCGTGTTTTCGAACGGCAACAGAGGCTTAAGAGAAGTGGGAATCATTCCCGTGTTTTCGAACGGCAACAGAGGCTGTGGGAAATCAGATTATCCTGCCATGTCACCTCAAGTGCTTGCTGTCAGCCACACTGACTCCAACGATTTTTTGGCGTTCGATTCAAGTTTGGGACCTTCCATCCATAGAGTAGTCAAACCCGACATTTCTGCTCCTGGTGAACACATCCCTACCTCAGGACACTCCAGCGACGATAGTTTCATCTGGACCCGTGGCTCAAGCCTGGCTGCGCCTCATGTTTCTGGAGCCATCGCCTTGTACTTGTCTGCCAACAATGGCGCCTCGTACGACCAAGTGTACAGGGCCCTGACCGAGAATGTGGATACGAACACGCTAACTCCACCCAACAAGAACTGCGGTGACATTCCCAACACGCAGTATCCCAACAACCTCTTTGGCCACGGCCGCTTGAATATCTTCAAGGCCGTGGCTGCTGGCATCCGCGGCC